AAAAAWWAAWWAAWWAAAWAAAATAAAGTACTGTACTAAAATATTTGATCACTGAGGGTTTATTTTTTTAGGGGGGTGCTTTCTTAATTTTGCAGCCAAGACAAGTGTTTCAGTCCAACTTAATTCCAGCCATTAGTATATAATTATGTGGGAGAGTGGATTAAAGGTTGATAAAAGCTAGATAGTTTGGGTATAGATTCCTACTTTGGCACTTTTTGGCTGTGTGACCTTGGCTAGCAAGTTACTTAACCTCTTGTCTCCATTTCTTTACATATAAAATGGGGTATGAATAATAAACTTCTCATGGAATCATTTTRAGGCTTCATTAGTTAATAGGACATTGCATGGCATAGTAAATACTCAGTGCCCACATCTTCTCATTATCCAGCCAACATGGGACACTTATTTCTGTTCTTTTAAAAAAGTTCTGTGCTTACAGTTTTATTTATTGTGCTACGGAGAAAGTCACTTATCTATTCACATGCCTTAAGTAAATTCCTACTTTTTTTTTTTATCATTTGGCTATGTTTAGTCCTTTATATTTCCTGAATTCAGTATTTTGAATGTCAATTTGATAGCCAGCCAAAGTGAAATATGTATATCTGATCATTATAAGAATTTTTAAAAATATTTATTTTTTAGGTGTAGATGGACACAACACAATGCCTTTATTTCTATATGGTGTTGAGGTTCGAACCTGGGTCCTGCCCGTGCAAGGTGAGCGCTCTACCGCTGAGCCACAATCCCAGCCCTTATTATTATAATAATTAAAAATAAATATTTAGGGGCTGGAGTTGTGGCTCAGCAGTAGAGTGCTCGCCTGGCACTTGTGGGGCCTTGGGTTTGATCCTCAGCACCACTTTATAAATCAATCAATCAATCAATCAATCAGTCAAATAAAGGTATTGTGTCCAACTATAACTGAAAAATACATTTTTTAAAAAAGTAAATGTTTAAGAAAAGAAACATTTGTAATTTTAACTTTGTATATTTTTAATGTAAGTTCAGAATGAAAGAAATATTATTTCCTCAATTCCAAAATCAGCTTGGATTAGATTGATAACTTCCATTACTTCTCCCAGAAGTAGTTATGGCCATTTGGAGCTCAGTGATGGTGTAAAATACAAATACATTCAGATGCCTTTGGAAATCTCTAAATTGATAAATCTAGAAATGCTCTTTCAGACTTCATGACTCCCCTGGGTTTTTGGTGGGGAGGCGGGTACTGGGAATTGAACTCAAGAGCTGAGCCACATTCCCAGCCCAATTTTGTATTTTATTTGGAGACAGGGTCTCACTGAGTTGATTAGTGCTTCACTATTGCAGAGGCTGACTATGAACTYGCAATCTTCCTACCTCAGCCTCCTGAGCTGCTGGGATTACAGGTGTGCGCCACCACGCCTGGCTCTTGAATGTTTTTTTTAGAAAGTTCTGTGATGCCATGCATCCCACCCAAATTAAATGCTTTATGTATATTCACAGAAGTTTCATGTCATTCAAAGATTATTTTCCAGAAAGAAAACAAGTACAGGACACATAAAGTATATATTGTAGACTTTTGGATTATTGGTAAATTGCCAAAACGATGACTATTAAGTCCAAATAATAAATGAYTTATCTTTTGAATGTTGAAATATGAGTTGAATTTTTTTGTTGCAACTTAAAACACTAATGACAATAATGATGCTATGAATTTCCCTGAACTTAAAATCTTTTTATAATTTTAACATGCTCTGTGGAATCCTTGTGTTCCCTTATGGAAGCCAGTCTTTCTTTGGGAATAGAACACCTCAAAGCCAGTAGAATCCAGTTTGAAAAGACAAGAAGCAAATAATTTGCTACAGTATCATTAAGGGTAATAGTGAGAAGAACTACCCTCTTTGGTTTTTAGACTTGTGTATTCTACTTTTGGGAAAAATAACTCCATATATGTTGTAACCTACTACAAAACAGCCCTAGACCCACAAAGTATTACCCAGCTGATGATGTACATGAATCTTCAATAGGTCAAAGCACATAGTTTTGGAATGATGGAGTTCATGAACCAGTGAATTCTTTGGGTATCTTCTCATTGTCTCATTTTGCCTGTAAAATGAGATTTTTTTAGTTGGAATTTATGTCATGTGAAATATTATGACAAGAATGAGGCATGTGGTAAATCCAGATGGGATTTTAGCAGGAGCACTACATGTAGGAAAGGCAAACCCATAAGGGTCTATTGCAGTAAGTCAAATCACTGCCTCTTCCATGAAAGAAGGGATACAGTGTTATCAGATAGATAGCTGTTCCCTCTGGGAAATTGTGTCAGGGATCCTGTGCTGGTCTCTTCTRTGAGGTTCTCAGTAGGGGCTATTGTCAGATCAGAGTTAGTGGGAGAACTCCTGTGTCATTGAGCCCATTGAACAAGGACTGGAACAAGGCACCAAAAAGAAACTGAATATCATTCATAGAACCCTCTTTTCTACCTAATTATTTACAACCTATGTTATAGCAGGTGCCCTTTGGTGAGCATTCATAGGATCTGCTCTTTAATTTTTATGGAAAGGTCCTTATTATCAGCAGTTTTCCTATCTTGTTCTTTCAGTGTCCTTGACCTTGCAGCCCAGCTCTTAACTCTGGCCCATAATCAGTATAAATCCAACCTCTAGTTCTCTGTTCTCCCACATCTAGTGGCCCTATCCCTCACCACTGCTCAGGGCCACGTCCAAATGGTGCATTATACTATGCATTAACACCTAGAAATTATTAAATTATTTTTGTTTCATGGTCAACTGATTATAGGGAATTTCCTATCAAGCTATTGGGATGAGATGAAAAGGAAGAAGTATCAGTGTGAGATAAAAAGGTACTTTCTGCATCCGAGCAACTATACAGCTTGTTTGTTGATCTCATATATGCTACTTCCTCTTAGTGATGAGTGTTACTATGCATATCCAGCTTCATGACTTGGGTCAGTTGATGGTGGTGTCATTTGCTTAGGTGATATAATGGTAATGTTCAAGAATTCATTCTCTACCAGGAACCACTAACTGTGAGGAGGAGCTTGAAAGTGCTAGGAAAAAGAAGGAAGAAGTTGAAAGAAATAGGTCTTACCTAAACAAGTCTGTTTTAAAACAGATTGAAAAGCAGAATTCACAAATTAAAGCTAACAAAGCACTTGTAATGATGCTATATCTTCTCCAGCCTTCTGCTGCATACCAATAATACAAATGCAGGCAGAAAAAGTTTCTCTTTAATTCCTCCCTTTCAGTGTTCTTATTTATCCTGGCTATGTCATGGACAGAATCTATGATCACTAATTCTCCCTACACCCTTCCTTTTAGTTCATCCTTTGCTTCTTTAACTTATTGTGCCTCCCAACATTTAGTGGTGCTAAACATATAGTGCCCTTTATAGAATTCTTATATGCCATGGCATTTTTCCATCTTTTTATTGTGGAAATTTTCAAAGTATCAAAATCCTGTATACAGTGCATCATCCAGCTTCAACAATTACAATACATCTTGACAATCTTGTTTCATCTATACCCCACTGTTTTAGTCAGCTTTTTCACTGCTATGACTAGAGGACCCAACCAGAACAATTGTAGAGGAGGAAAAGTTTATTTGCAGTCTCAGRATTCAGAGGTCTAAGTCCATAGAAGGCTGGTTCCATTCCTTGGGGTTTGAGGTGARACTGAACATCATGGCAGATGTTCAGCAAGCAGCTCACATCATGATCAGAAAGCAGAGTGTCTATACTCTCCAGATACAAAATATATACCCCAAACCGCGTCCCAATTCCCACCCCCTCCAGCCACACCCTACCACATCAGTTACCACTCACTCAGTCCCTATCAGGGGATTAAATCATTGATTTTGGGTTTAGACTCTTTCAACCCAAACATTTCTTCTGTGAAACTTCTTGAATTGTCTCACACATGAGCTTTTGGGAGACACCTCACATTTAAACCATAACACCTACATCTATTTTTTTATTCTTGTAATTTCTGCCTTTTCATTATTTTGAAGCTAATTTATCTACAAATGATAAAGCAAAAAACAAAACATATCACACCTAAAAATTATTAATTACTTAATAGTATCAAATATATCCCATCAGTGGTGGTTATTGTTTTGTTGTATAGTTTATCTGAGTCAGGACCTAAATTAGGTCCATAAAATGAGATTGGCTTATATATCTGTTAATGCTATTTTAATCTATAGCTTCTCCTCTCTCATACATGTACTTGAATTCTCTTTCTCCAATTTTTTGTTGAAGAGACTGGGTCATTTGTTCTGCAGACTTTGTCACAGTCTGGGTTTTGCTAATTGCATTTTCTTGGTTAATGTGTTCCTCTGTCCTTAGTATTTCCTGAAGCTTTAGTAGTAAGATGAAGAGATGTGATCAGATTTAGTTTAGCTTTTTCTTTACTTCCTCTTCCTGCATTTTTAAAGAAGACTACTCTGAAGGTGATAATTCTCTGCAAATTCAATTTTTTTCAGGACAATTGGCAAATTTGAATATRGATTATATATAAGATAATAGGTTATCAATATTAAATTTCCTGATTTTGAAAAATAAACTTTATGTATTTAGTACTGAAAAGTCAGGATCTGTGAAAATTATTCTCAAGTGATTAAGTAAAAATAAGACTGTATGATATTTTATGTTTTACATACACAAAGAGAAAGTGCACATGTGGATAAATGTTAGCCATAGGCGAATCTAGGGTAAGGAAATGGGATTTTATTGCATTCTTTTTGCAACTTTTCTATATATAATTTTTTTAAGATTCTTAATAATTTAAATGATCAAGTAATTTATTTTCATTATTTTGTTTTTCTGCAGCTTAGTTTTGTTTTTGAAAACTTGCAATTTTATTTCATATCGCAGTTTATTTTAATAAGATGTTTAATGTTTATACATTGTTTTACTAGATATTTTGCACTTTTACATTTGAAATGCTTTCTATATTTAACCCCACAGTTTATTTTACGAATTCCTAACTCTTAAAAAATGCCAGTTTATAATTACCAAAATACTAGTATTATTTGGTTCCTCTGTGTCAGTCACTAGTTGCAATAGCAACCTTTAACTTTGAAGTAGTTCGAGTTCCACTTTAGCAAATTGCTGAAAGAGCAGAAATGAAAGATCTGCCTTGTAAGCATGTGGTTAATTGTTTAAACATTATCCTTCTTACCTCAACCTCTTTGTTCTTCACTCCTTTCCAACTACCTCACAAATGTTTGAGTAACTAAGAAGTTAATTAAAAGTGTTAGCTGGGTGCAGTGATGCATTTCTATAATCCCAGTTACTGGGAGACTGAGCAGGGGGATCAAGAGTTTGAGGCCAGCCTGGACAAGTCTGTGAGACCCTGTCTCAAAAGAAAATGTTTTATTGTTGCTCTGTAGGATGGCTTTTCTGATTTTGGGAATTTAGATATATTTGCAAACTCAAMCTCTCCCATGATAAGTGGAGTTTCTGTGGAATGTCACTGCAGATTTGGTAAATGGTGTACATGGAGGAGAGCTTAGAAACTTGGTCCATGTGGTATGCCTGGGTTATATCACAGTGGTTAAAGGGAATCAAGGACCACGTCTTTGACTCCTTTGGTATGTGTTAGCAGCTGGTCTTCTGGATGATTGGTCTTTTATGAAGTCGTTAGAATTCTAGGCACACTGATGGTGCATATGCTTTTAGAATAAGTGAGTAGGGACTGGCTGTTTCCTCATTTCAGTAATAAAAGAAATTGAATTATAGCAAAACTGTGTTTTTTTAATRTTAGGTTAATAACTGGATTTGCTTCATTAATGACAATAAGCTAGTGTTTGTTTTTAATCTGTTATTAGTAGTGAACTAGAGATAAAAAATTGTTAACTTTGGTTGTAGTCAAATTATAATAGAATTTTATTTGTAATAGTGCAAAATTGAAAATAATTTGATTGCCCAGTAATGGAAAAACAGTTAATTCAGTAACAAGCATATCCATGCACTTGTGTAATGGTTAGATTAAGGTAAGTCTATATTTTCTAATAGAAATCTAAGGCCTGAAAAACAGCTTGCTGAAAAATACCGATCCCATTTTTTTTTGAAAAGCAACCATATTTGTGTTTTATACTTAAATGTAAATGCTTCAGAATACACTGTAAAAGCAGCCTAAACTGCTGAATAATACAGAGATTGGGCAGGAAGAGTACAGGAAGGAATGAATTTACTGTATTTTAGTCTGTATTTTATACTTTGGTGCTTTAGCAGTTTTAAACACCAACAATATATTAATGTATTACATGTATTTATATAAATTAGTGTAGATTGCAGTTTAACTGTGTAACATTACAAAGGAGTGGATATAATCTAATTAGTATAAATTTTATAATTTCTTCTAATAGCTGATATGCATTCAGGATGGTTACCTTTCCCTGCTGACAGAAACTGGTGAAGTTCGTGAGGATCTTAAACTGCCAGAAGGTGAACTAGGCAAAGAAATAGAAGGAAAGTACAATGCAGGTGAAGATGTGCAGGTAAAGACCTAGGAGAAGATTGTGTTTTTTAAACAATTTTATAAAAACTTTGGCCTAAATTATGAAGTGTTGAAATATTTATAGTTCTTTTTTTCCCTATTCCTTGGAGTGTCTTGCAAAACCACAGTCTGAGAAATTCTACTTCAGGAAACTATAAAGAAAGTAGATGATTGGGGAGGGGGGTCGTTACCCCTTTCCAAAGTCCATATACACAAAATATCTGCAAATACACAGTATATGGTAAATTAAATATATCTTGTATATGTATTGCCTTCTGGGTAACTTTTACCTGCATTTTTTTTCCTTMTAGGTGTCTGTCATGTGTGCAATGAGTGAAGAATATGCTGTAGCCATAAAGCCCTGCAAATAAATGGGGACATAAGGCATGAGCAAACCGTTTAGGTCTGGATCAACTGCAGATCTAAAGTTTGGTTCTAAGTTGTCACCAAAGCTATGGCCTTCATAAGCAACCTCATTTTTGTTTTTTTTAACTGTTTTGAAATTGTGCTGGTTCATTTTGCTGGTAGTTGGTAACTTAACAAAAAAAAAAATCAAGATATATAATTCTTTTTTTTTTTAATTTTGTGTCTTTCCTATAACATTCCTGTGGTTTTCAGTATGAGTCCAAGAAACATAAAGCTTCAGCAAATGTGATTTGTCTGAGCAAATCATTCCTTAATTTTAATAAAATGATAAGTTAAACCAGGGTTTTAAAAGATAATGTAGCATTTGGTGGTATTGAAATACCACATTTAAGTTGAATTGCTTTGCATTAATTTCAAACTAATGTCATAGAATACATAAATTATGGTTTAAAATTGTCAGTTTTAGCCTGTGTGTGGCAAATACATCTTTAAACAAAAATCATGTTATTAAAAAGCGTCAGTTACCTTGGTGGTTGTGTGGAATGATATACATTACCTCGGTCATACCATTCTTTGCCACATTGTTAGTAGACTTACACCTTACATGGTGGTTTTAGTACTTGTCATTGACAGAGGGACATTGAGCTGTTGGATGAAAATGAGCATGTTAGACTGTAAAGAAGACAAAAAGGACAGTGGCAAAGGAGGTTGGTCAACTCTAGGTTTTGACTTGAGACCTTTGTAATCAGCATAAAAAATAGAAAGTAGCTTTTTAGTTATATTTTTGCTTTTAACTTTTTTCCCCTTTAACCCCCTGGCACTGAAAGGACTGACCTGCTTTACAGGACACTGCAGTGCTTTTTTTGCAACCATGTTGAATAAGTGTTGGCATTTATCAGTAATTGCTCCTTTTCAACCATTTTAAAGTATTTTTTTTGACCTTAAAATATTACTTAGACTAAAACTGGGAATTCTTAAGTTGAGTTGGAATTCTTAACTTTAAATTGATTTGTTAAATTTATGCATATTTTTTCTAAAGTGAAATGAAAGTCAATCATGGAAGAAATGTTACTTTATTTAAAATTATTATTTAACTTATTTTAAGTATATGTATTTTTTCTGTTTTCTGTCTTAATTCAGTACCGATGTAAAATATAACTAGGAAAGAATTATATAAGCCAAATTATTTTTTAAAGAAGTGTTTCAGGTGACATAACTGCACTTCCATTTTTTTAGATCATTCTGTCACACACACACACACACACACACACACACGAGTATATGTACTCATTCCAAATTTACTTGTTCCAAAATAAGACATCATTATAGAGTTTGTGAAGACCTTTAACTCAATAGTAATGATTATATTGGAGTGGAAATCATTTATCTCAGTAATGCCTTGATTCTCTAAGACAAGTTCTGAGATCCCTCCCATCATGCCTTGACCTCAAAGGGCTTTGTTCYTATCATCTAAAGAAAAATATATATGATGATGTAACTGATCTAATCAGTGACTAGAAAGAGTGTTAGACATAAGATATACAAATTTTAGTTGCTTAATTTGTACACACTTTAAAATCTTGTCTTGGCCTCAGCAAACCCAGTTAGACAAGAAGCAAGATACTTTTAAGAGAAGTGCAAGGAAGAGGATTCTAAAGCACAAGAAATATTGAGGTGTTATAGTAATTGATTTTAGCATGACATTAGCTTTTGCCCATCCAAAGCACAATTAGGAATTAGGCTAAATTCTTTCCAGTATGCTATTTAAGTATCTACTCCATACTGCTCTAGTTTTTGTAGTTCTATAATCTCTAATGTGTATCTCACTTGCTACTGGTTAACATTACCCACAGGAATTCCAGAAAGTTATTAATCTGTGCTGCTTGCTGGTCATTCATCTGGTCCCTCTTAGCCATACTAGAGTTCTGATTTAGTATTAGTTCTGGATTAGCATGCCCTTGTTCTTCCTAATTTGTCAAATTTCACATAAATATGTTTTCAATTGTGATATAAGTATGTACAAATGATAATAATGCATCTCTATCTCCATACCTTGAATGGCAAAAGTTATTTATGCATAAGTGTTGCATTTTAAATACTATATGAAGTGTAAATACTCTAACATAATTATATAGATTTTAAAGATATGGGACTGTTTATTTTCACATAAGTCAATAGATGTTTCTCTAGAACAAAATATTTCATTTAGTAAAGCTTTATAAATTGTATTAAAAGGAAGCAGGGAACATATATTTTTTAACATAGAACAGAAGTGACTTCATTCTTTTTTGACATCAGAGAAATGTTAAAAGTTGATTCCTACTATTTGTTGTACTTTTTTGTAGCACAATGTTAAATATCACAAGTTACCATGTGTAGAATATAAATTGTCATGTTGATAGATTAAACAATGATATACCATTTTTGTCTGTACACATTTCACCAGTTTATAGACAGTATTAACAGGTTTCTTTCTAAGACAACATGTTTTATTTCTACTGTGAAGACTTTGTTACACCTTATTTGCTACAAAGTTGTATACTCTCTGACAGATTCAAATCATTGCTGCTTTGACTCAGCATTTGCACCATAACATACTTGTGATATTYTTTCTTGCTCCCCTCCAAGGGCTGTCAGTCACTTGAAGAAATTGTTGCCAATGAAGCTCTTGATTCAGTTTCCCTTAATGGTACAAATTTCTGTACCATGCTTTATATTAATTACCAAAACTCCTGCAGCCAGACCATGATATCTTTAACAGGAGATGCTGCAATAAAATGTTTAGGCTATAAAACTTGGGGACACAATTTTTCATTACAGCACAATGTGAGTGTGTACATGTGCACACATAGCTTTGTATGTTTGTTCTTTTTCCAAAGTCTTTCCCACTATTAAAAGTACTGTAGTCTGGTAGTGCCTCAAATGTTGGTAACTTTTAAATTTTAATTTACAACTTTTCCAGAATTTGTTTTTGTACTTTAAGGTTTCTCAATTAGATTGTTTCTAGTTGAGCTGTAATTTGAATGCATTATTCTCAGGGCTGTTTGTGCTTAGAGCTGAAGTTTTATTATTTAAAGCTAACTGCCTGAAAGTATATTGCAAACTATTCCCAAATTGTAACACTGTACTACATACATATAAAAAATTCTTAATATCCACATATTTAAACTACATGCTAGGTATTTAAGAAAAATGAAATATTAGTAGCAGTTTTACTGAAATCTTKCCATATTTTCCATTTTAGAACAGAATTGGGTGGTTTTATCTTAGAGCCCTAATCTTAGAAATATTTGATAGCATTCCTTTGGCATGGACCCCAAAGATGGTTTTAGAGCCAAACATTTATGTAGTGGTTCTCAAACATATTTAGGGATAATAGACTGAAAATTCATAATGCTCTTTGGGTACCTTAAAATGTTTACATACTGAATTCTATAATATTGACTAGGAATACATTTCCTGTGAGAAAATATGGCTCTTAAGCAGTATAAGAGCAAAAATATAAGCATATTTCCATAAACAAGTAGGTTGTACTTATAGTTCTGATAGTTTCAAATTCTCCAATATTATCTAGACATATTTCATAGGTTTCAAGCTTATTTTTCCCTGCTAGCATTCAAACAATAGGCAACAAAGATTTAAGAAAAATTTATAGTGAAAAATCCTAAAATTGAGAAAATTCAATCTATTAACTTTGATCTATTAAATTTTTTCCTCTGAATTGGGTATATGGCATCATTATTTGATTTTAGCAGGGAACATTTGGATTTAGTTTACAGAACACAGATGTTCTGTGGGAACATGGTTTAAAGTCACTTTATAATTTAATCTTTTTCTATTAAATAAACATCTGAACACCAACTTAACTACCAAGTGAGGTCAAGTGCCTGAAAAGTGCTGTATACATCTAATAAACATTTTTTTCTTTATGTGAAAGATGCATCTTAAAGCAATGCATACCAAGCTTTCACCTGCGAGAAAATACTTTTGCCAAACCTTGTCATTCACCACTAGATCCTTCTCTTTTCAACAGTTTGAAACCTATTTTACCATAAAAAAAAAGAGATTATCTGATTTATTTGAAGTCCCTAAAACTATTTCCTGTTATTGGTAGAATTAGTTTTATCTTAGTTTAAGAATGCACTTTTTAAAAAACCCTGGACACTAAAACTGTATTCAGCAATGTCTGAGCAGCTTGTCAAGTTAGTTGTGATCTTTCTTGAGAAAAATTCTTTATTGTGGTTAATATCTACTATAAGCACTCTTTTGCTTTTTATGAATCATAATGAAAATTGCTAGTTCTATACTAATATAATGAAAATGACTAGTTCTGTAATCAATTTATGTACTTTTGTCCTCCTACCCCTAAACAAAATAGTTGAAATGCATTATCTAATCAGTTGGCACTTTATTAGTAATACATTTTATTTGTTTTAGATATAGAAGAACTCTTGCTTTTACTTGCAAAGACTCAAATGTTTTCGCTAAAACTTTAAAATTGTAAAATATGTAGTATGAATATTATAATTGTGTATTTTACATTTCAAAAATGGGTAAAATCCACTTGTGAAGTCTTTGGCTATACTAAAATATCCTTTAAAATGTAGATGGTAAACATCAGTTATAACATTTTGTTACCTTAAGATATATTTGTCCGTTAACTTTATCAGTTACATTAAATAAAATAAAGTTAATTAACAGCTTGCATTATTTTGTATATGTACATTCAAAAATGTTTTCTTACTAGAAAATTGTATTATATACCAGATTTTGGGCTAAGAATGTTAATTTTTATATTTTAGTTCCAGGTTTAGGCACAATTTTTTTTATGTTCTTATTAGTTCTTAAAGTGACCTAAAAACAGTCAACTTGGTTCAGAATTGAACAGGATTGAACAGAATTGAACAGGTTCAAGAACGTAAAAACACCTTCCCCTCTTCTTCCTATCCCTGTGGACCCTTCCAGAGGCACCTAATGCAAGAGAGGTTAATATTCTTCTCTCTCCTGACCTCCCGGGGTCTGAGGTGTTTCTTCCCTGTTAGCTGGGATTGCTCTTCTCTTTCCACAGTGACATAAGTGGTGTGGTGAGTCCCTGAAGCAATCTTTACTATTCTTTCATCCTCACTGTGTCTACTCCACACCACCTGAATAGATCTATCTTTAGGCGGCTCAGCAGTTTCTTTATTCTATACACTGAAAAGTTCTAGAATATCTCTCCTGAACTGTGAGCCATGCCAGGGCTACAATGGCATTTGTTACCTCATATCCATGATCATTGTTGCTAATGTCTTTAACCGTCCAAACCCATAAAATAAGAGTTGCTGGAAAAGAAATACCAGTTAGTCTTTCAGCCCCCAAATCCCCTGCTTTCTTTTTCTTTTTCACCTTTTGCCACATGCAAATATTTGGAGCCCAGTTTCTCAGAGGTATACATGGGAGATTTTTTAAACAATAGTGAAAAGGGCTAATTATGTATTGTATTTTAAAATCTGTCTCCATTTCTCCCTGCCCAATTAAACATCTTATCCAAATAGGAGGTACCTTTCTGTGAATCACCACATTTATAACTCATGGCCTCCTGTCTAAAGTGTGTCCTCCACCAGGAATTTAAAACATCTATTCCCATAATACATTCAGCAATATAATTTACAATCCCTATGTATATATTGGCTCAAAAAAAAAAAAAAAAGCCCTTACAAGGTCATATCAGTTCATTGATTTGGGAATTATTTCTGAACCTAGTCAAAATAATTCTTTGGCCGGTACACCCATGGATGTTTTCCAATACACCCATGTGTATCTATATAAAGTAGTATCAGAGGGAAATTCATAGTCCTAACTTCAGTATTAACAACAACAACAAGAAGTGAACATAAGTGAGTTACATTTCTGAAACAGCTAGAAATAAACCAAGAGAGAACAAGGAAGGAAATGACAAAGATACAACCAGAAATTGAGATAAA